ATGCAATGTGTTAATTATTGAAACTGTCCTACCAATTTGATTTGAAACTGTCTCATTGCTATTTGTTTATCAATAAAATTATGGGAAAAAAACAAATGAACTACCATTTTGTATCTCTACATTCAAAATGGGATAGATATACAGTTACTTTCTCTTAATTCAAGGAATAGAAAGATTTGTATTAATAGTGTGTGTGCACAGGATATCATGTCTGCATCTTGTACTATGCATAACCACTAAGAAGACAACAATATGCTATGTATTAATTATTGAAACTGTCCTAGTAAGCGGTTTTGAAACTGTCTCATTGCTATTTGTTTTTCAATAAAATTATTTTTTAAAAGAAAAAAAAGAGAAGCAACTTCTCCTCCTTCTCCTTCTCCTTCTCCTTCTCCTTCTCCTTCTCCTTCTCCTTCTCCTTCTCCTTCTCCTTCTCCTCCTCCTCCTCCTCCTCCTCCTCCTCCTTCTCCTTCTCCTTCTCCTTCTCCTGCTTCTTCCTGCTTCTTTCTTTCTTTCTTTCTTTCTTTCTTTCTTTCTTTCTTTCTTTCTTTCTTTTTTTGCAGAACCAGGAATTGAACTCTGGACCTTGCACTTGCCAGGCAGGTACTTATGCCACTGAACTATCTCTCTGGCTCCAAGAAACAACTTCAAAGCATAACTTTTTTTTTTGACCTTCTGTGTGCCAGGCAGGCACTTATGCCACTGAGCTAGATCCCTGGCCTTCAAAGCACAACATTAAGAGCAGGATTAATTATATCAAAATGATGATGGGGCTTATTCATGGAGATTGGCACATGCATTTAATATATTTTAATCAATTTCAATCCCATTTCAGTCCCACTCTTCAGTTCCAGTCTGTCCTCTTTCCTTATTTTAATCTTTTACTTATTTTTAGGCTTCACATGTAAGAGAAATCATGTGATGTTTAACTTTTTGAATGTGGCTAATTTCACTTAAGTTTCTAGTCCACTAATTTTCCTGAAAATTACGTGATTTTATTCTCTCTCTCTCTCTCTCTCTCTCTCTCTCTCTCTCTCTCTCTGTATGTGTGTGTGTGTGTGTGGTCCTGGAGCTGGAACTCGGGACCTTGCACTTGCCAGGCAGGCTCGTATGTCACTAAACTGTCTTCCTGGCCTTCATTCTTCTTTGTGGCTAAATAGTAGTCCGCTGTGTAAATGTATCATGTTTTCTTTATCCGTTCATTTGCTGATGGGCATCTAGGCTGTTTTCACAGCTTAGAGACCGTGAATTGCACTTCTATAAACATAGTATAGCGTTCTTAATTCTTTTGGGAGTATGCCTAAGAGTGATCTAACTGGGTCAAATGGTATTTCTATAGTTAGTCTTTTAAGAAATCTCCATACTAATTTCCATAGTGGTTGTAACAGTGATTTACATCCTAGCAGCAATGTAGGAGCATTCCTTTAGCCCAAATTCTCACCAGCATTCACTGTTTTTGTTTTGTACTCTTGATGATAGTTATGATATTCTGACTTGGACCAGATAAAATCTCACTATAGTTTTAGTTTATGTTTTTCTGATGATTAGAGATGTTGAACATATATTTTTGGCCATTTGAACTTTTTAGTTTCCTTCTCACTTTTTCATTGGGTTCCTTATTTTATGGGGGTTGACTTATAGTAAAGTACTTTTAGTACTGTATGTATTCTAGGTATTACTGCTCTGTCAGAAGAGTAACTAGCAAAGATTTTCTTCTGGTTCATGGGTTTTCTTTTCATTCTTTTTGTCTTGCAGAAAAATTTTCA